TTCCTTCCTTCCTTCCTTTCTCTCTCTCTCTCTCTCTTTCTTTCTTTCAGAAGGCAATTGATTGAGGATGCCATATGGACAGGAATTAAGTTGCTGATAACAGTTCTGGTGCTCATAGCTTGCCGAGTGGGTGGCGAGGCGTAACCCCTGCTCTGCTGAGAACAGACAGTCCTTCCTTTCTCAGCCTTCATGAGACGATGCTCATATTGAGAGAGCGAGAGGCACTTGGGTCCGGTCTGTTTTAATTCGCTTTAAATGTAAAAGCTCTCAATTATATATAACCGAGGTGCTACAATTCACCCTCCCAGTTCCTAAGCAACAGCTATTTTCAGATTGAGTGCGTCTGGCGTTGTCTACCTACTTCATGCATCTATGAGGTAATTTGTCAGCAAAAGCTGGTTCTCCAACCATCACCCCATCATCTTTCCTGTGGCTGCTTCCTAGAAAGGAGGAAAGAGACAGAGAGATCCAGACTTGCAAAACAGGAAGGAGTTTGGGGAAATACTACTACTACTACTAATAATAATAATAATAAACCGAAAACAACCCACCCATCACTTGCCTACCTTCTTTGCCACGGTTTGCAAGCTGCCTCACACTTTGTAATCCTCGAAGTCAAAAGAGAGCAACCCAACGAATGGAAATAACATAGTTGCTGTCGGTGTAAAAATCTTCCTGCGGAAAACCTTTCCTAAGCAAAACCGGGAATCATGAAACGGAGGTCGTTGCTCTTGCTGAAACGCCGATGGGAGTCCATTCCTATTCCCGAGCAGGTATTGTGGCTTTCTTGTGTAGTTCCAGTCCATCTCTCTGGTGAGAGCTGAAGTTTGAATTTGAGCAAAGAGCTGTAGTTGGTACCTTTCTTTCTCACCCTTTTAGAAACCAGGCAGTCTCTGCCCGTAGCCACTTCCCGTGCAGTTACGAAGTGAGCTTTTAAAATGTAGCTGATCTGTCCAGTATTCTATCAGTTGTTGCTGGTTGCTCAAAGTGATAGTTTATGCAGGATGAGATTGGAAAAGCATGTACAAAAGAGTTGCAGGAAGCCAGTGGAAAGATCTTAGATTTGTTAGGTGTCAAGGAAAGTCCAAAGTGAAATTTATGGAAAGCATAAGTTATAAATTTAAGTGTTGATTAATTGCAAGCTGAGCCCATTGAGTACATGGCTTAGGTGATCCTGAGGGATTCAGAAGCCTTTATTGCATAGCAAGGACTATTGATGTGTGTTTTTTTCAGTGGTTGATTTATGCATATGGCATTACTGATGCTGTTCATTGGGCGGGAAACCATAATGATTTTTTTTCATAGTCTCTTCTAAAGCAGACCATTCATTTGGCTGCAGAAGACTTTACTGTGCTCTGGGCACTGTACAGTACTGGAAACATCTTCACACATTTGTGGCATAATATAGCTGCAAGAAATGTACTTGATTCATCACTATCCTTTCTATTAAAAACTGATGTCAGCGTCTGGGAATAATGGTTTATTGTTTTCAGTCCCAGTGCAGAAATGCCTAACAGGTGTTTGGCTCCAAAAACTGATTTATCATCTAAGATCCTAACTGTTCTTGTATCTGCAATGGCAATTCTATGATTCTTCCTAGCAGATATAGGGCCAGTCCTACCATTAGGCAGAGAGAGAAGGTTGCCTCGTCTGGCAGGGGGATAAAATATAAGGGAGCTCTGCACCATTTAAGCTGGCCTTCTGGTTACTTGTAGAAGGGCACAGTCCCAGTTATATCCTTAATAAGCCCAATCATCGCACCATGTGTGGTTCTGTACATGGTGGATGTGATAAGAGTTTGGACCTAAGGTGGGTTTCCTATTGCACTGGTTGAGAGATTGACTTATAGGGAGTTCAAGCTTGGTTAATGATTGACACCAGAAAATAGAAGCCTCTCAACCCGAAGGGCATAGTTTGCCCCTTGCATCCCCACAGCTTCCTGCACGGTGCCTCCACGGTCCAGACATTTCTCACACTCCCTGCTACCTGACATGTTTTAGGCCTGGAAGGTATTTTTCTCCAAAACTAGAAGCGATTTCTGGTCACTTAAAAGGAATTAAAAAATTAGACCTCACCAAGCCTGTAACAGGCCTAGGAGCCCAAAATGTGGCAGTGTTAGTCCCTGATACCACATAGCAGAGGCCTTTCAGAATTCTTGTTTGGTGGAGGGACGTCCAGTGGGAGTGTGGGTTGTCTTGTTGTCTAAAACAGTGGTCTCCAACCCCGGGCCTCCATATGTTCTTGGACTACAACTCCCAGAAGCCTATACCACCACATCTTCTGGCCAGGATTTCTGGGAGTTGAAGTCCAAGAGCATCTGGAGGCCCAAGGTTGAGGACCACTGGTCTAAAAGCTACCTACTGCAGTCTACCATGACGCCGCCCATGGTTTTCTGGATTTCCCAAATAGAAGTGGTCGGCTGCCGAAGGAAGGCACATCCACACTTGCAAGTGAATGGCTGGTAAGCCAACTTTCCCCTGACTGCCTATTTTTCCCCTCTTGTAAAGTATTTACCCGTCTCCCCCTCTATTATGTCTGGAACTTGCTGCCGTTGGCACCCTGTCAACCTGGCGAGTTTCAGCCTGCCCATGGGGCAGTTTAATTGAAAGGGCTACGATGTGGAGGGGAAAATATGTGGACTATCTCTTGCAGAAGACGATCCAGGCTTCCCAGTGATCTTGTTGTTAGCCCAGGGAAGCATGTCCTCTAGTGGTGGGGGATTATGAGATTTGCAGTCTGGCAACATCTGGAGGATTTGCACATTCTCCTGCATTGCTTCTCAGATATCTGGTTGGGGGGCGGGGCGGGGATCCCTGGTGTGCAAGCATTTTTAAATAGGTGCAGTATTTTTCGCTCCATAGGATGCACCTTTCCATAAGATGCACCAATTTTTAGGAGAAGAAAACAGGAAAATATAATCTGTTTTCTTCGCTCCATAAGACGCACAGACTTTCCACCCCGTTTTGTGGGGGAAAAGTGCGTCTTATGGTGCGAAAAATACAGTAAGTACCCAAGAAACATATGGGGAATTTATTTGTATAGTCTTCTTCTCTGTGATAAAGGGAGAAGAAGTGTCTATGGAATACATATTGTTGGAAGCTAGAGATGTTTCCCATTCTGTTCTAGTGTATTGCTCTTGTGCAGTCATAGAACACACCTCATACCTAAAACCCTTGAAAGTTTTTGTTTCTTTTCCAGTCAGAGAACCACTCCAGTGATGTGTGTATGTGTATTTGTGTGTGTGTGTGGATAGATAGATAGATAGATAGATAGATAGATAGATAGATAGATAGATAGATAGATAGATAGATAGATAGATAGATAGATAGATAGATAGATAGATAGATAGATAGATAGATAGATAGATAGATCTGGCACTTCATATGGGAAAAAATTAAGATTTGAACAGCTACATGTCAATGGTCTTGGATTTTATTGAACAGCTGCAAACTGTTGATCAAGAGTGTTGTGGAAATGTCTCTTCCTCCCCCCTTTCTTTTGGATAACTGAACTGAATTTAATAAACCATTCATTTCTCTTAAAGATCACTTCACTCACAAGGGAAATTGTAAGGAGAGAAAGTACGTAATGGAGGGATAGGTAGCCATTCCCTTGAAGCTCACGTCCTGGTACAGCTGCAGACTTGCATTATTTGATCAAAACAATATCCCACCCATGGCATTCTAAGGGGTTCTTCCGACATTTACAGACTGAGAATGAGGAATGAGGAAGGAAGTGTTTTTTCTCGAGCTGCAAAATATATTGGATAAGAATGGAGAATAACCAGGTTTTTGAGCACAACAAAATTCTTCAGTCGGATAAGTTATGTGCAATACGAAAGGTTGTTCCCATATCAGTATAGTTGATCCAGTTAATGACGAAGTGCCATTTGAAGGTTTAGGATTCTGTCACATTTCTTGGAATATAGGCATGATACTACCCATAAAACAAAATAACAAAATCTCTGAGAATTTAAACAAAATACTCAGGTTTGAAGGCACCAATCTATTTTATTTTCCCTCCACTGAAACTACTTGAAGCAATAAAAATATGGAAAAAACATAGTTCTACAGGAATCATTTTGCTCACAGTTGTCCAGACAGAAAATGTTCTTATTCTCAGCCATACAACTGAGATTTTTTTTAATGGTTCCTTTTCTACCAACTTACCTCCAGAATTCTTGGAAACCGTAGTAAACATTCCTGGATCATCTTGATTCTATTAAGAGGCTGTAGCGAGGCCATCACACTCTCCAAAGTTATAGCGTTCCAAAATCAGGTTCTTCAACACAGAGAAAAGAGATAGAGAGAGATAGAAACAAGTCTTTGGCTCGTGAGCTGGAAGGAAGCCCATCGGCCAAGCAAATCATTCCAAGTAATTGCACTGGATTATTAGTGCTTTGTGTTTGGCACAGACACCCATTTTTTGTCTTGACATGCAGCCTCCAACTTGTATTAGATCACAGAGTAACGCAATCGAGATTTAGCAAGAGGCAGATTTGTGACTGTTCCGTTAAGAGAAATCATTTCTACATACTACGTACTGCAGAACTAATGAAAGTACTGTATTCTGTTAAGGTCTGAAAAATGTTCATTGATGCACATCTCCCCCCCCCCCCGCGACTGAGAAGAAAGCAAATTCATAGCAACCTCCTGGCATGCATGTCTTGAGAAACCACTTCAACCTGGAGGTAGAGGAGTTAGTTGTAAAAGGCGAAAGATTTATGCGATCTGAAGAGAAACCAGAGTATCGTAGCAGAGTAGTTGTGTGAATGTTCCCTCATGAATGAAAATTATTTCTGAATGTTCAAATGTACACTCAATCTTTCACGCTAAGGTTTGTTTCTTGTTTTGTTTTTAATGTGCAAAGTCTTTTCCCTCCCACAAGGGAGGTGGGTCATAGTTTCCTAAATTCTAATGTTTTCTCTGAATTGCTTTATTGCTGACTTAACCACTTTGGTTATTCAGTTAGCACTAGCATTACAGTTAAAACGTAAGTACAAACAGAAATATGTACATCTGCAGAATGTTAGCTTAACAAACATAAATGCTAGGAAATTTAAAATACCAATACTAATGCATACATTCACAAAATACCAGATTAAAAACAAGGTACAAACAAATTAAAATGCACACACAATTTCAAACGAATAAAATCCTTTCAGTTTAGTATGAACCTTTACATACTTTCCCCTCAACTTTTGGGTAGCTGCTGTAAATCTTGCTAGTCTATTTGTTACTGCTTTATTAAAATCAGAAGACAAATAATGTTATACTGGTCGCTTTTATCTGGTATATCCTCTAGCAAAGTTGATATAAACTTTGTTCCAGGTTGAGAATATAATCAGCAATGCATATCTATACAATGGTGCCTCACATAGCGACGTTAATCCGTGCAGCAAAAATAGCTGCTAAGCGATTTCGTAGTGATGTGATTTTAAAAAGCCCATAGAAATTCATTAAAACCTGTTTAATGTGCTCCTATGGGCAAAAAACTGACCTTAAAGCGACGATCCTCCATACGGCAGCCATTTTCGCTGCCTCTAAAGCGAGAAATCCATGCGAAAACACAGCGGGTGGCCATTTTTTACCCGGCGGCCATTTTGGAACCACCGATCAGCTGTTAAAAATCATCGCTTTGCGATGATTGGTAAGCGAAACAGGGGACCGATCATCGCAAAGCAAAAAAACCGCACAGGAAACCGCAATGCGATCGCTTTTGCGATCGCAAGAAGTTCATCGCTATGCGGTTTCGTTGCTAAACGGAGCGCCCA